TTCAATTATGATGTTGGGAATATTCAATAAAAATCTGAATACCAAAAGTTCAATCAATAAACTCTTTTAATAAAGCTGAAAGGTCCACTTAATATTTCCATATCTCTTAAAAATTGAGTTCATTACAACACCATATTTGCATTTCAACAGTAAAAATCATCTCAATTCTTGCCATCATAATCTTCAATATTCAACTTGAAATCTGCTGTAGCTATCAATAAAAGCTGAAATTTTAGCTCAGCAATAAGAAAATATTCAGCATAAAAGCTTTTTTACAGTGTTATATTCTCATAGCGAACGTGATTGTGAATCAGCATCTCATAAAAGATTCATAAAGTAAATGTCCATCGCTATCATGTGCAGCAAGCTTATATTATTAATACATCTTGCAGGATGCTCATTGTAATTTTATAGTTCATACTGGGAATAGCACTATGAGGTGTGTGTTCTGAGAAATCATCATAGGAAGCAAAAAGTAAGCAAAAATAAGCTTTTTGCAGTAAAATTAGCTGGTTACCAAGTTTGTGGATATTGCTGGCAGCTTAAATCTTTGAGATCACACAAAACCATTAAGAAATTCTCCAATTATGCTTCTCATAAAACTCTTTTTCTACCTTACAAAAAAAAAGATGAAAAAAGCAAATTATCTTTCGGTACCTTTCTAATTCTACCTAATAAGCATAAAGCTTTTTCTGTGTATTTGCAAATAAAAAGTTTTGAGACATACAAAACCTTTTTAACCCATCCGAAATCAATATTAAACCTTTTGCATGAGCAAAAGTTCTTGTATTCTTTTTTTATTGTAATTCAGTCATAAACCTTCACACCGAGCAGCACGTTCTCACTTTCATTTACTGCAAATCTCCATTAAACATCAAAATATGTTGTCGCTAATGCAGAAGTTTAAGATAGAACGAGACATAGTCTTAGAGGAATTGCATAAATGTAAGATAGACCATAATATAAATCCCTGACAATCTATTCAGGTTTTATTTGGTGTATTTACTCACTTGCTATCTGTTGAGTCATAAACAACAGAGGAAATAAAAATAAAAGGTGCAAGGGGACATTGTGGATGTTAAAATGGAGATTCTGAGTTAGTCTGGAAACACAGCGCATTTATTGTGATAGATTCTTGGACAGAAGATTCAGTATTTAAGCTTAATCGAGTCTGATGTGACAAAACATCCAAACTCATCACATTCAAGCTCTTTTTTACAGCAACAACAGCTCTAAAGAGTCTAACTTTTATGCTTTATATCCCATCTCTTCTTTCTTTCATTGTTGAATAGATTACGAGTCTCTCATAAACCACAATATACACAGTGAATGTCGATTCCGCTTTTTATTATTTTCTCACGTGGTCAAAAACTATAAAAAATCATTTCTGTTGAATAGTTTAGAAAAAGTCTGAACTTTTAAAGCACGTTTGATGTCGCTATAAATATGGAAGTTTCTTTGCGTGCCTTTTCCTCTTTAGCTGTGAGTCGTGTGAATCTAATAAAATATATTTTTTTAGAGTTTCTAAAAATAGACACAAAAGTTGAAGATTGCTCGTTCTTTTGTAGTTTAACAATGGATTATGAGCAGATTAGTTTGAGTCCTGAGTTGATAAGATTTCGCTAAGGCACGTGCACGTGTAGTTTTGTGAGTAAAATCTCGGTTGACTACTCGACCTAAAAGAGCCACAGAATATAACGATTCAAGCTCATCTGAAAGCTTTAAGACCATCATTAAAATTATCAATCGAAGTTTATCTGGCAACACAAAATTTATTGTCAAATCATTTAAAGAGGAAATAAAGGCATTTTGGATTATTTAACAGAAAATAACCCTTTTCATTCTCTCTGTTTCTCCTTCCATTAACATTGTCTTACTCTTCTTCCCATTCACTTTCGTTACCAACACTATTTCTTCTTTATCCTCATATCTACATCTTTCCATGTAGATTTATAACCTGAAAAAAAACTCGTTAAGTTGAACAATAAAGTTGAAAAACTTGTTGGTTGGAAATATGTAGAATGGAACAAGCACAACAATACGATATTTACAAAATGTGTGTGCTTCGATGTGTGTATGGGAATGGGGAGAACAGGAAGAAGACAAACAAAATTTTCATTAAATTTAAAGCAATACAAAGCAGAAGAGATAGGGAAAGAGAAAATGGCAACGACGATTGTAAAAATATAAATTGGTTTTGGTAAAAGAAGTGTCGTCGGAATAACAAATTGCAAAAATTGGTTGCGTAATGTTTCCATACTAGATATTGATTATTAGAGTTGGAATTTTTATGTATTAGAAAATTCCAAAAATGTCTTTAGAACAATAACATTTTAACCTTCACAGTTAAAGCAATGACTTCTTGGGAAAACCAAGACTTGTAGGACAAGCTGTGTTCAAAAATTGTCAAGTTCCTGTAAAATTTTCCATTTGCATGTTTACTCCATAAACAGCAAAGCACAAATATTTCTTAATATATTTTTAACTGATACGAACAATTCATGTTCGACAGACTTATCGAAAGTCTAGGGGAGTTATAATATGCACGTTCGAAAAGTTTAAATTTGAAAAAAACCGTTACAATTTTGTTGATTTTATTGGAGTTTTTGATCGTTTTGAAAAACATTTATCTATATTATGCTTATCATTAAATGACTACATAATATTTCATCTAAATTTCATAAAAATCTTACTTAATTTAAGTTTTAATTTTTTCCTAATTTTCGAAAATTTCGAATTGCAGGGTATGAAATTTCGAATTTTGTATGGCAGACAGACAAATAAGATATTTTCACAAGTTTTCTTGGAAACTGTAACGGTCGAAACCATCGAATTGTTCGTATCAGATTTTTAATGAATGAAATGCTTAAGTATCATGTTCCATCTGAATTTAAATCCCTTCACAATTTCTGTCTTACGAGACATGATATTAAACCGCATTAAAAAGGTGTTATAATCAAGCATGCCAGAAAAATTATAACTGCCTGAACATTGACAGAGATGCTCGGTGAGAAAGAAAAATCTCATTTTAATTTATTATTTAACTGTTGCGAGAGTATTATGTCTATGTTTTACAGCACATAAGATGATTGTTATCATTGTGAAAAGTTTTCATCTCCATTCTTTGACATCCATGAAAGTTTGGTTAAAGAAGAAGGCGAGAAACTAAAGATTATGTGAGATGAAAGAAGAAGTCTACAGATTCTACCGAGAAAAGGAACTGTAATCATGAATATTTGAATAAATTTGTCTCCCACAGATAACATAATAAGCACATATTATATGAGATAAGAAGACACAAACAAGACAGCATCGAGAGAATATTGGCATACTGGATTATACAGGATGGCCATTGTCGTTTGCTTGCTTGAAAATTTCATTAGATTAATCATTTAATTAAAATTCTTCATGTTCTTTTTATTTTACGAGCTGATAATAAATATAAACATGAGACTAGCCAAATATGTTTCGTTAGAGGATGAAGTTGGGTTCAAGCCCCTGAATAAATCCATAAATATCTGTCAAGTCACCAGATGTATGCAAGAAATAAATTGCCACTTGATGATGATTTAAACAATAAAATTTTTAATGAAATTTTTCAAAAAAAGACAATAGAGCCTTCAATATCTCATCCCGCCTTCACAGACTGCTCTATCATATCAACATCAACATCAAAATGTATATCATGTATCAAAAAATTCGATAGAAGGAAGGAAAAATGACAAGAATGTTTATACACAAATATCAAAGTTATGAGAAATGAAAAGAAGAGTAGAAGGAGCAAGTGCGACAGCTGTGATACAAAACCTCATATCATTATAGCGATGAATACATATTTCATAAGCACGAGAACAAAAGATTTGAGAAATTTCGTCACCTAATCCTTAATGTGACACTTTACTCTACATTCATTTCATTATTGAAATTTTCCTTAACTTTAATTTGAGATTAATTATTACTTTGAGTTTATGTAGGACGAAGCTCAAAAGTTTTGAGTTACAAGAAGAAGAATTTCATTAGTTTATGAATAAAGCAGTTGTTGACTTGACAATTTAATGACTTTAAGCTTTTTAATTAGGAAAAATTGGGTCAGCTATTTGTAGATCTTGTGAATGATGAAGTTGTTGGAATTTAAAAAGCTCCTGCAATGACTTTATAATTGCATTTTCATCAATCACAAAAAAATTTGCATTTTATGCACAAAATCACTTCATTCTCATTTCCCAAAATTTCCATAAAATCATCAACTGCCATAAGACAGTAGACCAATTAAGATTGCTGAATGCACGCCCTGAGATTAAAAATAAAGCTTTTTATGATTTTCATGGTTTATGCAAATATTTTTTTCTTCCATTGTTTAGAGTTTCATAAATTTTATGTTAATTAAAACTTTTAATGAGATAATTTAGAGTTATGTATTTACATGACAATAAAAACCATTTATTAATGCATGTACTGTACCAAAAAAATAATAATTCCTGAAAAATGCCTGTTCATATTTTCAATTTATGACAGCAAAAAATGGTGTGAGTATGTGTATGTGTGTGTGGATGTTTCTATACAAAATAATGAATATTGTCAATGATGCTTGTTCATGCATTTCACAATAAAATGTATTATTAAATTTTTTATCGACATTTTAATGAATCGTGATATAAAAATGTTATTGGATGTCCAATGGAAAAATTTTGTCAGAATCATTCTCCTTCTTGGCAAGGCACATGACCAATTGGATTTTAAAACAAATAGTTTAGGTCGTTCATAAATGACATCATACATTTAGGGATAGATTTGGTGTCTATAACAGGTAGACAAATGTTTTTGTGTCATCGTGTAACGGGTTCAAAACTAAGGACGTCATTTATGAACAACCAACGTAAAGATTCATCATCTGACAAAATATTTCATCACTGGATCTAAATGTGGATTAATACATGTAAATTTGTTGTGTATGTTTCAATAAATCCTTTAAAAAAATTATCATTAATCATTAAGTCTACCTTGCTTCGTTGTCTCGGCGGTGCAAAATCTTCTTTCGACTTTCGTCGCTTATCTTTCAATATCATACGAGCTGCTGCGAATGCCATGCTTAAATTGCTTTAATTTCTTCACTCACAAAAATTTTATTGATAACAGTTTCGAATTTTATTTCAGTTTTTGTATATAAAAATATTTTCTTTTTAATTGAATTCCTTTTCGAATATTGCTTTTCAGATGTCTCTTTATTTTAGGGCTGATTTTTATCACTCAGAATTGCTCTAACAACAAAAAAATAATTTTTATAGATTTTTTTTTATTTGCTTCCTTATTTTACTGACTATTCTGTGTCGTTATGTGCGTAAGACCTTGAATCACTGTTTATTATCTTGTATGACAAGAATACTCAATGTTTGAGTTCCTTGAGCTAAAGTTTATCCGGAGATTTGAGAATGGCAAGTGAGAATATTAATTGACTGATGTAGAAAGACTCGCTAGTGCTGTACCTTCACTTGACAGCATGCAGTCCTTCAATTTTATCTTCCTTGAAAATATTTAAAGCATTTGCTTATTGCAGTGATAAATTTTCAACTTTCTTCGGCGCCTTTCAGATTTCTCAAGTGAATGTTGTAGCATCAGCAGAAGCAAAACTTTGCATTCTTGATGGCGCTATTTATTGTTAGCTATTTTTTTGTCGTCATCATAGTCGTAGACATTCAGATGTGAAAAAGGAAAAGAACAGAAAAAAAATTTTTATCATCATGAACAAGAATAAAAAAAAATGTTGAGAAGAGAATTCTTCGTGTTTGGATTTACCAGCGCAACGTGAGAAGGAAGAGAAAATAGCTCAACGAGAAACATACACAAGAAATAGTCATAGAAGAGTAAGAAGTGATAACAACCATGACCTTGGCCGATTTTTTTAGATTTCAAGAATTATTCAGAAGAGATAATAATTCCAGTCACCATGTGTGAATGTTGGAAGCGCTGTTTTTTATTAAAAATATCTCAGTTTGAGATATAAAGCTCCTGTCACTTCCTTCCACATACAAATTACACAATTTTCTGTCGGATGCAACAACAATTCTTCATACTGAGCAGGATATTCATGCTCATCTCACGAAAATCCCATTTTCACGTCCCATCATTTCCCATTTCATATCTTAACATCAGAACTAGCAAGATTTTCATTTTCATTTCACTTCTGTCTCTCAATTATCAAATAAAGCTCACACATAAAACAACAATAAGGCATACGGTAAAAGTTAAGATGTTTTTGGTGTTGACAGGGATGCTGCAACTAAGTTTATCTGAACTTGGAGATTTAATTCATCAAATTTAAGCATATATAGTTATAACTCTATTAAAATTCCATTCATAACATCCTACAATGCACTCTAAATTGCATGCAAGATCTTAAAAATGAATCATCCCTGAATTATGAAAATTAAATTAAATTTCACTTCATTCTAGAAACGAACAGGAAGAACTTGATCTGTTTCGTGACTTTTCATAGCTCAGAAATTCTCTTTTCATTCTCATTTATTCGCGTTGATTATTATAAGAAATGATAAAACATAATATTTTATGATGTCTTTGTCTTTCGCTTTTCCAAGCTATACTTTTGCGATAATGAAACAATTTTCGTATTGTTCTGTTCTTAATGGAAAGCAGAAAGTCTTTTAGAATGTGAGGAACAAAAAGAAGGCACTACTATTAATCCATAATGTGAATTCTTTCATATTTTATCATATGAGATTATGAGTTTCGTGCATGCAATGTTTCTATTGCTTTAGGTACAAAAGAAGTTACTAAATGGGGGAAATTTGAAGTTATTAAAATTGATTAAGTTCGTTGGCTTCTTGATCTATAATATTGACCTGAAGATTGGTCAGATTTAGCTTAGTCAATGTCTTGGATTCAGTTTTTGAAGTAGACTAGGGTGGACCAAAGATCAAGAGTCAAGGAAGAGTACTCTAGACTACTAGAGCCTTTTGTAGTCACTAAGCAAAGCAGATTCTGAATCTACATCCAAAAAACATCTGACAAAAACAACGTCTTTATTCAGTAAGAGCCAGGCGCATAGCCAGGAGGGTCTTGTCCCCCCCCCCTTAAACGTTTTGAACCACAGCGAGAGCACATGACCCTCCTGGCTACGCGCCTGGTAAGAGCAACATGGCATACTAATGAATCTAACGATTTAGAAGCCAGCAACCCAAATAAGTCTATTATCAAACTGACATGGATAATTTAATGAAATGCATACCCAATTCATTATCAAATTAACAAAATAAATGGTAATCATTCTGAGAAAAATCCCACATCGCAACAATATCAATTCATCCAGATTATCACAATTAATTTTCCATAATAAATCAATCAATGTTACTACCCACAATTTATACTCATCATAATTATTCAACCGTATAATTCATTCTCATCATTCAATTCTCTCTGTTCTGCTTATTCCCTATATTTTCTCAGTTTTATTCAGCCATAATAATAATATTCATATGCATACAGCTTTTTCTATGAGCTCTTTTTTTCCATCCATCCATTGCTCTCTTTTTGCGGATCAATGATTTTAATCAATTTAATGAATTTGATATTCGCAAACATTCTCGCACACACATAAAATTTTTGTTTCCATTCATTTAATTTTACAACATATTAAATGTTGGGATAGGCCGGTACGTGGTCATGTTTTGTCTGATCTCCTTATAATTAACGCGTAATTGGCCGTACATTTTATCATGCACAGCTGTGATTTTATCCATTTTTGAAATAATTATAATTTTATTGTTCATGTTTTGACTTAATTTTTTGGATTGTTTAGGACTAATGCCAATTTTTGGAGGATGTTTGGATTGTGGTAAGCCTAAAATGCGCTTCCTACTCTCTTCATATTACCTTACAGCAGGAGCGTAGCCAGGCAGGTATTGTTCCTCTCTTAAGCGTTTAAGGCCTTGCTCTTGCTACGGTTCAAAACGTTTAAGGGGGGACAAGAACCTCCTGGCTTCGCGTCTGCCTCACAGCTATTGTTCCTCTTACGTAACATCGAAAGAATGAGGATATGAATGAAATATGTGTAACATCCATAATAAATATATATATCGTGTGCAAAGCGAATAAATGAATCGATAAAAATTAATGATCGAGCAATTTATGGCCTCATATTAGCAAATTGATTGACCAATGGAAGTAAAAAGTAAGGATTATTTTGTAGAGATCATTGTCCTAGTTATGAGTTATGATATAATACATTCTTGTGAATGAAACATTGTCCAATTAATTTATCAAAATACTTTTACAAGAAGAATGTCATCAATTTTATTTGAAGTGCTTCTTTACTCTTTTGATGCACAAAAAAGGAAATTCCTTTTGAATCATTGCAAACAATTCAGTGACTTTAAATAGCATTGAGAGCCTTTTTCAAAATAGCACAAAGGATTTTTCCGGCTCTTGCTGTTGAATTAAAAGGATTGTTAAATGTTTTGTTTGAAAATTGTCCATGAAGTATTTCATGACTTCTTCTTTGTACTCTGGGGCTGGTGAATTGTGGATTGTAAAGTTTGAGAGTTGAGAGCCTTCCTCCCCAAATTTTGACAACATTTATGAACGACTCTATAAAAGCTATCAATTGACAAACAAACATTCAAACCAGCGAATGCAATTTCATTCAACTGCTCAAAATTAATCTCCTGCCTTTGTTCCAAAAATATTCAAAATTTTTAAAAGAACATTCAGCAGCATGTTTATCCCTTCCTCCATATATCTCATTTTTATTACACAACTTTCCTTTCATTCTTTCAGCGAGCATAAAAAAAGATGAAAGAAAAAAGTTTCTCATACAAAAAAAAAAATTCAAACAAAGCTTTGCGTGGAAGTAAATTTCTTTTGTGCTGTTTTCCATTTTTGTTGTCGTTGATACTTTTCCGGGATTTTCATTTTTCTTTTTTCTTTCACAAAAGTGAAATGAGAGATAAAAGTAGAAAGTGGGTGAATGTTGATTTAATGTCTTATTCTAGTTTTATAAAATCACAATACAATTTTGGATAGAAATGAGAACAATAAATGGGGTAAGGTCGTTTTCATTGTGGAAAAATTTAAAAAGTCAATTTGAACTAGATTTAGATTTGTAATTACAGTAGAAAATCGATATGTTAAGAAAGTTAATAATTACATGGATTTTAGTTCATTGAAAATCTCGATATTGTTCTGAATAGCAAAAAGCATTGAAATAAATCTAACAAGATAAGGTTAAATTTAGTGCTATTGTGAAATTAATGAGTGTTTTGGATGTAATAATTGAGTCATATATCTTCCTTATCCTCATTGAACTCCTGAATTTTAATTAAATTGTCTTTAAAATCATTTTAATTACTCTGTCAACTTTTGAATTAGCTAGCTGCTCAACGACATGAAACTATTGAATTATCGATGTGTTCTAGACTGTATAGAGCTTTTCATCAATGGCGTCAAACAACTTTTGAAGAGATTATATGAGTTTTGAGATTATTTACTAGATTTTCAATTTCCAAACCCATAAATATTAATCGGGCAGTTCTTTTAAAATTTTACAGACTTAACTTTAGTACAAACACCTGAAAAACCCATCCACATGCTACTTCCTTTCTTTATTTATTCCACGCGAAAGCATAATTCTTCACGAAATTTTCATTAAAGTAATAACTTGTTCAGCAAGCAATGCCAGCATGTAAGACACAAAATGGGTAGCTGATATCATTCCAAGGCGTGGAAACTATCCCAAATATCATATTCATCCCACATATCCCAAAAATATTCGAAAAAATTCCTGAGCATGTATGCACGATAATAAACATATCCTAACGTATCCTTATTGTATTGGACGTGTAATTTCAGGATATGATGGGATATCTCAATTCTAATGCATGCAGGCTCAGGAATTATTTTGAATATTTTTGGATATATGGGATAAATGGGATATTTGGGATAGTTTCCACGCCTTGTATCATTCACAGTTTTCAACATTAATTCAACTCAATTCACATTAAAGTAATTTGATCCATAAATTCTCCAACTGACTTTATTTTTTGGAACCAAATTTTCAGCACATTAAGTTTGAGCACGAAACAATGACG